AGTATTCGAACAGCGGGCAGGAGTTCGGGGTGAACTTGATCAGAACTGACGGTTAGGTCTGTGTCATGGCTGCAGCTCAGTGATGAGTGACAGCTGTGGCAGTTTAGAATGTTGTGGGCAGACAGCTGTTGCCGTGGCGATCAGCAGAGCTCTGCAGAGCTGTGGAGCTGATGGATACATAGGTTCTGGTACCAGGCGGGCGAAGCCCGCTTAGAAAGATATAAGTAACTCATTGGTTCTTGTACCAGGCGGGCGAAGCCCGCTAAGAAAGATTTAACTAATACATTGGTTCTGGTACCAGGCGGGTGAAGCCCACTTAGAGGGCTTTAGTCAGAGCCCGGTTCTGGTTCTGGTTCTGGGGATCGGACCCAACCGGGTCGGAACCGGACCAGGGCCGGACCCAGCCATGTCATACCTCGTTGCGTAGGTCTTTTTCTCAGCTTTCAGCCAATGCGACCCCGACCTGCTCACACCAATTGCATTCGGTCAAGGGGCCCCAGAGCTCAGCCGGGTCCCTCCATCACTGCGTCTCTCCCTCAGGCCCTCTCATAGGCGCGAGCCCACATTACAGAGAGTCCAAATATCGATTGGCCCACCTGCCGGGACCCTTTTGAGGGCCACAGGAAGCCAGCCCCGGGTTCCTGGACGGGCACTAGGTGGCCCCCCTCAAAATTTCTTTAGAATTTTTTTAGTTTTCCATCAACTCTGAGTGACGCTAACCAGATCAATCTTGAATCGTTATTTTCCATCTACTTTGTCGGACTCCGTCCAGGACCCTTTGCTAGCTGACCTGGTTATTTTCTATGCTGTTCTTATTGTTCATGACTCTGGATGGCTTTTCTCTCATGCAGGAGAGGAATACCAAAACCATAAATACCAAGCTGCCGTCCAGAAATTTGCACTGTGATATATAAATAAATCTACTGAAAACATGTTTTCATTATGTCAAAAAACTCTTGTTTTCATCCCAAAACTGACAAAATAAGACTTAGAAACATCTGTTGTACCTCGGTTGCTCCAACTGAGGTTCCTAGATTCAGCTGCATGTTTCTTCAGGTCCTCAAAGAGGATCTGAAGCTGTTCATCCAGAGACCGACGCTCCGCCTGCTGCTCCCTGTCCTTGGTGCTGAGTTTGGAGGCTTCAGAGGAGGAGCCCACAGCACCTCCTCCTCCTCTGCTGCTCTCCTCCTGACCCCGGAGGTCTCCTCCCCTCTGGTCTGGACCTCCCTCTGCTCCCTGACCTCCCGTCTTCTTGTCATATCTCTGTTT